TGGCTAGTAAAGATCTTCTCCCAATCTGTGGGCTTTCTATTGATCTTGCTAGCTATGTCATTTGCCCTGCAGAAGCTCTGCAACTTTATGCAATAAGAGTGGGATTTATTTTTGAGACAAGGCCTCCTTTTGTAGCCCATACTAACCTCAAACTCACAATCTTTCTGCCTTAGCCTCCTGAGCGCTGAGACTTCAGGGAGTGCCATCATGTACATACAACAAGAGGGTTTTTTTTGTTTTTTGGGGAGGGGTCCGGTTGTGGAGCTTCAACTCTGGGCCTGGGCGCTGTCCCTCAGCTAGCAAGAGGTTTGTTGTTTTTTTTTGGACATGTTTGCCTTTGTATTTCTTCTGTTCATGTTCTTGGATAGTTTTCCTGTTGGATTCCTCATGGTTCTAATTTTGTTTATTGACTGTTGAACTGAGGATATCAGTCCTGAGTCTTAGGCGTAACAGTTCTTGTTTTGACTTACCTCCTGTTCCTAGGACCTTCAGGAGCTCAAAATTTTCAATCCCCACCTTCTCTGCATGTCCTGTCAAGTTAGCTAGAGAAAGAGAGAGAAAAAGTGTAAGAAATAATAAACGGCATCATCAACAGAAGGGGTCTGTAGGGTTTCTGAGATACCAGCCAAGTTTGATTTCTTTAACTGAACATACACATGGTCATTGCTTGTTCAATGGTAACACATGACCAATTCTTGTTCAATGGTATAGCTATGTCATATGAAATTTTAAGTTTTACATTATAATAATTTTTTAGAACTTAGTAGCTAGATATCATTCAAATTTAATATCCATATTATATTTATTAGGCAAAGTAAGTGATTACACAGATGGGAGCAAACCAATAGGAGGCTTGATCATATTCAAGAGTAGGAGAATTATTTTAATTATATTAACAAGAAAGCATATAAAAGTGGATAGTAGGGCTAGGGGTATAGCTTAGTGGTAAACCAAGTCCTTACTAATAAGCTGGGTCTCCAATACTAGAAGGGGGAAAAGCAAATAGTTAAATATGCTATAAGAATATTAGGCAATGAAAATCATTTAAGCATGTGGTTTAGATGCCTAGACCACATTTCTATGCTATTATTTTGTCACAAAGATTAAAGTCTTTGAGCAAGAATATCTAAAAATAAACTTCATCTCTCTTAATTAAATTGTTAACCTAAGAACAAGAGCTCAAAGTTAACCAACAATACTAGCATTTATTAGAATAAGACAAATATTTGCACAAATTGCTTAACTCCTCCCCCACCAAAAACGTGAAATAAACATCACCAATTGCAGAAAAATCTTCTGCCTTTCTGAGTCATTTACATGCCTCAATAAAGTCCAAAATAGGTTGAACAAAAGAAGTGGAATTACTTCTTCTGCCTAGGAACAAAACACCCCAAAGAGGCCTGTTTTGAGATGAAGGTAAGAGTTGTCCATTGTCTTTCTTAGTATTCAAAAGGAGATGGTACTAAATTTATTGTGGTTGTATAAGGACAAAAGGTAGGTAGTTCATAAGAATGGAGTCTTCGGGCTGGGATGTAGTTCAGTGGCAAAGCGCTTGCCTAGCAAGCGCAACGTCCTGGATTCGATCCCCAGTACCAAAAAAGAAAAGACAAAAAAAAAAAAATGGAGTCTTCATGATGGGCTACTGACTTAGAGACAGGAGAGAACACTTACACTTGCTTACACTCTCTGCTTTGTACAGTGAGAAATACAATGACATGCATCTGCAAACTAGCAACAGGCCCTCACCAGAGACTAGAGCTGCCAGCACATTGATCTTGGATTCCTAGCCTCCAGAACTATGACAAATGTTATTTGTTCGCACCACTTAGTCTATGGTATTCTTGTCAAAGAAGCCTGAACTAAGAAAACTGGTGTTCACTCAAAGTTTGGTCTTCTTCCTAATCATCTAGGTCTCATGCTGAACATGTTGTCCACATGATAATGATTAGATGGGACTGGGACAGAAGTAGAGACCCCAGTTAGGTTGTAAACCACACTGTATGCAGCTTATACAGAGTTCTATACTGGAGTGTTGGGTGTACACATCACTGATTCTCCAGTAGCTACTATTCTTTATACAGACCCCTCATATCTCCTAGGAGAGGCCCATCAGAGCAGAGTATCAGCATTTCTGAGTTGCTATCAGCATGACAGCAACAAACCTCACATGCTGTTTTAACAGCATAATAGCACCAAACATCACATGCCTCTAAATCCCAAAAGAATTAACTTCTTCCCACAGAAACAATGCTTTAATAAAAACACTTCCACAAACACAAAAAATAAGGAATACCAAAAAACTTTAAAAAACTTAAAGTGCATTGGAAGAAGCAACATACATGTCATAATCTGACTTGTTGAACTGAAACCCATTTGTAAAACTACTTAAAGATAATAATCATAAGAAATTTAAACTGGAGTGAGTCATCTGACACTCAGCAGTGTGATCATATCAGTGTAGCTGGCATCTATTCTAATGGGCATACCAGATGAGTATATTAGAAAACTGGACTAAAACTTAAGATCTTTTCAAGGTCTACTTTAAGTCTACTTTAAGCTTATCTTTGTTATTAATAACATCAGTCTTGTCAAAAGTTTTACAGTTGATATTTTGTTTACACTAATGCATTACTAAACAACAACAACAAAAAAGATGGCCAGGTGCCAGTGGCTCACACCTGTTATCCTAGATACTGAAGAGGCTGAGATCTGAGGGTCGTGGTTCAAAGCCAGCCTGAGCAGGAAAGTCTGTGAGGCTCTTATCTCTAAGAAATTAACAACAACAACAACAAAACGGTAATGGGAGCTATGGCTCAAGTGATCAAGTGCCAGCCTTGAGCAAAAGAAGCTCAGGGGCAGCACCAAGATCCTGAGTTCAAGCCCCAGGATGGGAGAAAGAAAAGGAGAAGAGGGAAAGAGAGGGGAGGGGAGGGGAGAGAAGGGGAGAGGAGAGGAGAGGAGAGAAAGAAAGGGAGAGAGGAAGGGAGGGAGGGAGGGAAGAAGGGAGGGAGGAAGGAAGGAAGGAAGGAAGGAAGGAAGGAAGGAAGGAAGGAAGGAAGGAAGGGAAGGAGGGAGGGAGGGAGGGAGGGAGGGAGGACGGACGGAAGGTGTTTCATGCATGAATGCCTTGCACATGTAATCTTAGCTACTAAGGAATCTGAAACCTGAAAATCACTGTTTGAATGCATCCCAGGCAGAAATGTCCTTGAGACTCTATCTCCCATTCATTAACCAGAGAAAATAAAAAGGCTGAACTGGAAAGTGTATCTCTTAATGGTATAGCACCAGTTAAATCTAAACTCCAATAATACAATACTCCAGAAATGCAATAATTGGTTCCTTGCACTATGACTGAATAACCTCACCTGTTCCTATACTTAATATATACTAATATGTAGTATATACACTAAAATGTGGTATGGCAGAATATGACTGATGTAATTTTTCAAAATTTTATTATGGTATAAGCCATGTAAAATTTAACATGTTAATTATCTGAAGTGTACAACATTGTTATTAAATGCATTCATAAAGTTATACAACCATCATCAGCATGCATCTACCTAACTTTCTATCCTGCAGAACTGAAACTCAACCATTAAACAGTAACTTCCTATTCTCCCTTGGCCCAAACCCTGACAACAAATGTTCTACTTTCTGTCTCTATAATTTTGGTTACTCTAAGTGGAATCATACAACACAGTAGCTGGTTTATTTTATTTAGCATAAGTTTCTTCTATACTGAAGCATGTGTCAAAACTGTCTCCCTTTTCAAAGGTGAATAATATTCCATTGTTTATAGATACTACACTTTGCTTATTATTCATCTTGTCAGACACTTGAGTTGCTTCCAATTTTCACTATTATGAATAATGCTATGATAATTATGGTTACATAAATATTTCTTCAAGACCTTGCTCTAAATTCTTACAGGAACTGAAATGTTATGGTAAATGGAATTACTAGATCAAAGAGTAATTTCTGATTTTAACTTTTTTAAGAACTATCTTTCACAGAGGAAGTTATATACTGTCTTATATTGCTACCAACATTGCCTAGGAGCTTCCTGTGCCTATATTCTCACCAACAGCTGATTATGTATTTTTGTATCCTGATAGATATGAGGAAGCAACTGGCACTTGAGATTTTTGGTAGAGAAAAAAAAACATATTTAATACAACCTTGTGACCAACACGAAGCAAAACTGAATGAGAAGCATTTTTCTCTTCCTGTTCTACTGTAATTAAATATTTCTTGCAAGAACTGGGTACCACATTTTACATTTATTAATTTTATCCTTTCATAGACAGCAATTCACCATTTTTCTTTCAGCTCCTTACCAATATCCAATCCTCCAACATAGTATAGTTTTGTTTTGATTTTTATTATTTTGGTCAGTCGTGGGGCTTGAACTCTGGGCCTGGGCACTATCCCTGAGCCCTTCAGCTCAAGGCAGCGCTCTACCACTTGAGCCCCAGCTCCACTTCCGGTTTTCTGGTGGCTAACTGCAGATAAGAGTCCCACAGACTTTCCTGCTCGGGCTGGCTTTGAACCGCAATCCTCAGATCTCAGCCTCCTGAGTAGCTATCAGGGATTATAGGCATGAGCCATTGGCGTCCCATCATGATATAGTTTTTATTTTTATTTATTTTTTTAATCACTCGTGGGGCTTGCACTCTGGGCCTGGCCGCTATCCCTCAGCTCTTCAGTTCAAGGCTAGCGCTCTTGCACTTGAGCCACCGCACCACTTCCAGCTTTTTCTGCTTATGTGGCACTGAGAAATCGAACCCAGGGCCTCATGCATGCAAGGCAAGCACTCTACCACTGAGCCACCTTCCCAGCCCATGATATAGTTTTTAAAACAAGACATTTAAGTGAAAAGAATAATTGCTTTTTCCCCAAATTCCAATAACTTTATGGTTTTTTCTCCGGTATAAAATAATCCAGAAAATCTGAGAAAGATTTGTGCATTCATTTTATTTTTTTAAAATCACAAATACCTACAAAAGGCCTTTAAGCCCTAAGACAGGTACTAAGTCTTTACCTAACAAAGTATAGGATTTATATTACCAAAAGGGCAAGGATATCTAGGCATGGTAGTAAATGTCTATAATTTCAGATATCACAGAGGCAGAAAGAGGAAAAACAAAAATTCCAGGACATCCTGGCAACTTAGTGAGAACCTGTTTCAAAATATGAAGAAGTGAAACTAGAGCTCAGTGGTAGAATGCTTAACTAGCATGTGCATGAGTTCAGCTCTTAGAACCACAGGAAGGGAAAGAGGATGGCTGGAGAATTCTGGACTAGATAATATTTGAAGTAAAGGCATACAGGGAGAAAAGCTATATTTTTAATAAAGAATAATAAACATACTCTAATTTTTCTTAAAACTGATTTCATGTCCTATGCAAGTGTTTTCTACAACCTGCATAACCAGTACATTGTAAACCTTATTGATGTTTCAATTTTACATAATGTTTGAAAAGATCGCTGTCCAAAAAGAAATGTACTCTTTACCTGACTCGTCTAACTGTAACCCCCCTGTACAT